GTTAGGGTATGTTGTAGCAGGGTACCTTACTATCATCTTTAGCTTTTTTTTTTTTTTTTTTTTTTTTTGAAATTTGTATTTGTTTTTGCTTTGGTTTTTTATTTTTATTACAGAGAAGGTGCATCCTTTGTCAATTTTTAGCTTTTAGATATAAGGATATAATCAAATATGATCTAGTAGGGTTGGGCCATATCATACCGTTCACGGTAATACCCGTATAATGTTAGGCAATGATAAGAAAATGAAATATTGCAATAGAATATGGGTAAAACGTGGATGCGCAGTGCCTTTGTTTTGATATGCACATGGTGGAAAAAGCATGGCGGCGACAGAGAATGAGAAGGGTGAAAGCGGATTGATGAATGAAGCAGATGAACCAGAATTGGTTTTTAAGAATGCTGCAACTTCAGTGGTGTGGAACTGGTTCGGCTTTCGTCCGTCAGATACACAACTGGCCATTAAGGTGTCGCAGTTAAATACAACAAAATAAAACCAGTACTGGTACCATAACAAAGAAGATTTATTCATAACACACGCGAAAAGACCCAGGGAAATCAAGTTAACGATTAAAAAAAAAAAAAAAAACGCTAAAAACCCTGAAAACCATCAATTTCACACCCGAGCCTCAACTCTCACGGCCCGGTACCAAACATTTCCGGTCCGGGGGTTGGGGACCGCTGATGGTAAAGCACGCCGCCACTGGACTCTATAGTGGTACAAATTTGATCTCTAGACTGATAGATAAGTAAATTACCAAATGTAAAGTTGGTAAAGTTGACAAGGGATTATGCTGTGGGACAGGAACTGGGCTACGTCATTTCGTTGTAATGAAAGGAACTCGTAATGCTTCAGCACATCAAGACATTTTGGATAATTTCTTGTTCGCAACTTTATGGGAACTTTTTGGGGATGGTCCCTGTCTGTTTCAACATGACTGTGCACCAGTGTACAAAGCAAGGTCAATAAAGACATGGATGACTGACTTTGGTGTCAAAGAACTTGACTGCACAGAGTCCTGACCTCAACCTGATAGAACACCTTTGGGATTAATAAGAGCGGAGGCATGCAACATCACTATCTCCCCTCACAGACGTACTTCTTGAAGAATAGTCCCGTAAATTCCCAATAAAAACATTTCTAAACCTTGTGGAAAACCTTCCCAGAAGAGTTGAAGCTGTAGCTGCAAAGATTAAGCCGACATATCATATTAAACCTTATGGATTAAGAATAGGATGTTACTCAAGTTCATATGCATGTAAAGGCAGACGAGGGAATACTTTTGGCAGTATAGTGTAGTTTAGCTTCTGCGACTCAGAGACACCTGTAGCAGCAATTGCTTGAAGTACTTGTTTTTTTTATATAAATTTATCGGTCTCACGTTATTTTGGAGGAATTTCGGTCCACTTGGCTTTTACGATGTCGCTTCAGTTTATTGAGGTTTGCAGACATTAATTTGTGCGCAACTCTCATAAGGTCAGTTTGGGCCAAGCTGTAGCTATTGGACAGGTGGCCTCACATTCGATTCAGGAATACTTTAGTTTATAAAAGTGTTCATGTTCGACTCAATGACTACAGAGCTCCCAGGTCTTGTGGCTACAAAACAGTAGTTGGTATGAAATATTTGTGCTGATATGGCATGACTCTGTGTATTATGGCCAAACATTTCCACTTTAGTATAGTCTGTTCAAAGCACATTGTTGCAGATGTCTTGCGCTGTGATCAGATGGGACTTTGCAAGCCTAATTGTGCTGCCACATTCTTTTTAGAGAGAAGATTCTTTCTCTTGGGAACTTTTCCAAATAAGCATTATTTTATTGTCTTTTTCAAATTGTACTGTCATGAATTTTAACATTTAACATGCATGTCAGGTCTCTGACCAGAGTTAGCATGTCAAATGTGTGATTGCGAAATATCTTGAGTGTTTTCAGTGGAATGTTCGGAAATTCCCAGTTTGATTGGCAGCAACAGTTGCTTCTTTAATGTCATTATTGATTTTTTCCTCCTTGGCATTGTGTTAAGAAACACCTCACCTGCTAAGAAGACGTAAAACGTTTGCTTTTAGAGAGGTGCTCACATTTGCTGATGATCATTTAATCAAATGCATTGACTGGCAGCACCCAGCTGCTACTTACTGCCCCCAGCTTTCTCTCCCAGCTCATGTCATTATTATGCACACATTACACTTTGATACAACCTTTTTAACAGACCTCCACATATGGGATATGGATCGTCTCCACGTATCCCATGTAAGCAAACTTTTTCTTCAACTGTGTTTGTATGTGTTAAAGAAAAGAGATGGATCAATAGAGTGACTGGACCATGACTTTTTCTGAAGGATATTGTATTTTTAACAAGAAGAGCCTCGACTAACTTTCCTGTTGTTTTGATATGTAAAAGGTGTTGGCTTGTTTCCAATCCTGCGAATGTGAATTTGGTGTTATTTCGTAGCTACTTGCAATGTTTAGATGAGTTCAGATTCTTATATTCACCTATAAGTTGTGGTGATCATTTTGCACAGACTTAATAATAATGAAATAATGAAATTAAAACAAACGGTTGGAGTTTGGCTGACATATTACCTTCTAGATACTGACTTTGGAACAACTTTGAACTCCTGATCTTATTAAAACGGTGATTTTGTTTCCCCCCCAAAAGGCACGGGTATCCTGAAACTCCCAAGACCTGACATGAACAATGGCTGAATCCAGATGTTGTCTTTTTTTTTTCTTCCCAAAGAGACGTGGAGGCACAGCTGTGGTCCCTAAAAGAGACCATTTTACACTCCTCTTGCTAACTCGTCTTTAATGTGACTTTCTGCAGTCCCAATGCTCACGAGACTCTGACTCACCTAAGCAGCTGTAGTTTATCTGCTGCCATTATTAAGACTTGAGCTATGTTCACAGACCAGCTGAGAAAGATTTCAAATCTAAAATGAACACTCCGTGCTGAATTTTGTTCCCTTTTAGGTTTATTGGTCCCCACCAGACAGTGAAATGTCAATAAGATTTTCTTGTGGCGGGTGTCCAGATGGAGATGCATCCTAGGGCAATTCCCATGAAGGGTTATTACTCTGCATAAAGTATAAATAAGGTTCAATCAGGTTTATTTTTTGTGTTGTTTTGTCTAATTAGTAAAAATCTCAATTCTGAGTTTGTTCCTTTTCTTTTTTTTTTATCATTTTTTTAAGTAAGCACAAGCTTGGAGAGTTTCCTGTGTTTTCTGGATACTTGTCTATCTACATTATAAAGAAACCTAACCCTTTTTGTGCCAACCCTGATTTTTCTCATGTGTTTCAGAGTAAAAAGGCTCATATACCGTACAGAGACAGCAAGCTGACGCGGATACTTAAAGACTCCTTGGGAGGCAACTGCAGGACGGTTATGATTGCCAATGTTAGCCCCTCTTCCAAATCATATGATGACACCCATAATACCTTAAAGTATGCCAACAGGGCTAAGGAGATCAAGTCCTCGGTTAGTGTTCAAGTCATATTGTGTTATGGTCACCAGTTGTAATCCTAGCTGTGATTCTTGGACCATGAATATACAAAATGACATTATATTAGCCATCCGTTTTTCTCTCTACCTTTACCTTGACAGCTGAAGAGTAATGTTGTCAGCTTGGACAGTCACATTGGCCAGTATGCTGTGGTCTGTGAGAAGCAGCGGCAAGAGGTAAGACAAAATAACAAACAGCACAACTAATTACTTTGTATTTGGACAATCGGACATGGACATGATAAATCCTGACTGATATCAATGTTCTATTTAATCCCTAAAGATCATGCAGTTGAAGCAGAAACTAAAAGAATATGAGACGAAGAGCACGGGGGCTGGGGCTTTTAGCACAATCTCTTCCCAGAAGCAAGAAGAGTTCAAAAGGTAAGCAAGTCCATGAGCGTGACTCAGAGTGTAACTTGTTACTTTATGTGTCATAACCACTTTTATTGTAAAGCGTGTAACTGGAATGAAGACAATGATTCAGGCAGAGAGCTTGTGGCCTGCATTTGCTAATGTATCGGACAATAATGACGCATTATGTGGTTTTGTAAATGGTTCTGGCAGCTGTAGATCCATTAGATTCTATAAAGAAGTGGAACAGGGAACGTAAGGTGTAATTGGGTGTAGTGGGTCAGGTTGTATAATCAAGAATGATATCCCAATTTACAGCATTTTTAATGTGGCCCTTTGTCTTTGTTCATTGGCATTTGTGGTAGATTAAATATTATGAAATTAGCTTTTAGCAATGAGCCTTTTATTAAATCTGCTCAGCAGCTTGAGAATATATTGAGCTGCTTGATTCAAGATTTATACTAAAACCATCACTTGATGGAATAAAATGAGGTCAGTGGCATAAATATGCTGTCTTGAATTGGTATGCATCGTACAAAGCCTTTATATGAGTTGCTAGATCTGCGTTATTTAATGTTTACATTCACTCAACTTTTAATCAGCGTTGGCTCCAAACTTATTGACAGCCTGTCAAAGAAGTCTCCAAGGAGGCATTCTGAAAACTTTGCAGACAGCACCCCACAATTCAAGAACCAACATGGCGTGTTATTTAAAAACAGCATGAGGATGTTCCAGTTTTTGTGTTTAACGAGTCTGGCTTTGAGTGTGGGCATATTTCAGTATCTTTGATCTAATGGCCAAATATAATAGCAGGCATGTTCAGCCATAACCCTGATGCCTTTGGCCTCTTTGAGTAGCTATGAAGTCTCCTCTGTGTTCAAAATGAAACCATTATTATAGACTTGTGAAATTTATTGCTCAGGACATGAGACTCATCACTGTTATTCTCCTATAGGGTGCAGTTCTAGTTTAAGAAGTCTTCTAGAAATGATGGTGCATGCTCGTTGTTATTTTATAATTTAATAAATAAAAATAACATATTTTGTTTATTAGGCTATTAGGGTGGGCAGGTGTAGTGTACTCAGGTGGGTTTAACTAATCTAGAGCTTTAAAAACAAAGCAAACCACCAAAAATCAACTTTAAATAGCACGCAGCATTCTTCAAAGATGAGGTATGAGTTAAGGTGACTACGTCCCTACTAAATAGGCTATTAAATGACATGTAACGAGGATGGTCATTTCCACCTCCATGTGGGGGGGTTTTCCCTTGGACTCTACTAGAGTAGTTTTGCATCACCTACAGGCCTCCCTTTAAGCTCACTGTCTTCTGATTGGCTACTCCTGTCAAACAGAAGATTTTAACAATAGATAGGGATTCAGGTGCTCATAGTCAGGTAGGTGGGATGACCGTATGAAGGAAGCTCTTTTTGATGTCAGAAATATCCAGGAGTAGAAAAAATGTGAAACAAGTATTAGTCTGAAGCCTGAGCTTTTTATTAACGCAGGGATTGCTTGCACATGCACTGACTTTGGCCATCCACCATTAGCTCCACTTTAAAGACAGCCACTTTACAAAAGGTACCTTTGAACACCAGACCTCGGAATCACAGTTCTGCATGAACAGTCGAGCAGTTTTTATGTAGCTGTTGTCTTGCGGCCTGTTTTGCTCTGTGTATTTTCTGATAATTAATCTGGGGTTTTGTAGCTGATTAAGAAAAGTGGTGTTTAGTTGCAAGACATCACTGTCACCTTTCTCCAGTACTTCCGGAGGGTTTCTCAAGACATTCCCAGTCCAAACAAGATTATCTAGAATTCCTAAAGCTTTGTTTGGGTTTGCCTTTGGATTTAATCGGAGACCCTAACAACCTCCACAGGCCCCTTTTTTAAGGAAAAGTGGCTGGTATTTAACTGCAGATGCATTCTGAATGTCTCCACCCCTCATCTCGTTCTTAAAGGAAGAACCATGTGACGAAAACTCCTTGTGACGGCAGAAAGTCTATGAAGAGCTTGTCCTCAAGTTTTTCCTAAACATTATCCCAAAGCTTAAATGCACTCTTAAACCAGGAGTGGCACTTTTCATGTATCGCACATGAAAACTGTTGCTAAAATAGGAGCAAAGTGACTTTGTTTGGCCCAAGGCAATCCTACACGCTTTGTATGCCGACATAATGTTGGTGTGCAGTGGCAAACACCAGCTGCTGTTTATTTATTTGTATGTGCCTCCATGCGTATATAATCACACTTAGGCCTTTAACAGAGTTTTTGAAAGCTGACCTATCCACAATGTACTGAAAACAAAGTGTGTGAGCCAATGATAGCAGTCCTGCTAAATTCCTAATGAAATGAGTCCAGCCCACCTTGTTTCCCTGATCATTTTTACTTTTAAGCAGCTTGTTTTTGTTACTCCCATGAAATGCTGTCCCTTGAAATCTGCGCTTAGGCCTCCTGGAAAACTGTTACTTCCTGGAAAACAGCGCGTCTTCAGTGATGACCTCATGCTGCACTAGTGGGTATAACAAGTCCCATTAAAAAAACATTCCACCCAAATAGCCTTTTTTCCCTCCTCTTTACTGATATACCACTGGTTTAATTGTTGGGATTAAATGTGTAATGTGTAATGTATAGTGTAGGAAATGCATCAGAAAAAAGACACAAATACACTTTCTCACAGCATTTAGAGAGAGTTCTTTATTTATTTTTATGGGCTTTTCCCCCCTTTGGATTAAATCTGCAATATTGTACTAGCAGATACAAGCAAATTTAACATCTGCAACATTTCCTCATGATTATTTACCTTTACTCATCCCTGAGCTACACTCAGTGCAAAGGATATGCATTTTAATAATAATAATAATAATAATAATAGTGATCGACAGTGTGACAGCAATTAACTGAACTTTCAAAAGAAAGCAGAATAAGTAAAGGGCCCACTTGGCTCTACATTTAAAGTAACTAACTAAATATTTGTTATTATGTGAATTATGATTATTTCTATGCAGACATTTTATCTGTCGGGATTTGAAACTTTTGGCACTGGACAGTTTTGTATTCTGAAACATAGATAAAATTACACAAATATGCAGTTAGTTGGTGTCTCCTGGGACCAAGTTATGCTAGCGCTTATTAAAATTGCTATAATCCACATTTAGATAGATTTCTTCTTTAATCTTGAGTCTCGAATGACAGCCGTGCCTCCAAAGCCTTTTTTTTTTTAAATGAAATTATATATGCACATTTATTTATTTTAATTTGGAAAAAAAAATTTCACATCATCACCATCATTGCATCTAGTAATCTTTCAGGCATTAAGCGGCATCTGTTGGGGTACTTGAGTTAGGGGTAGGGAGGGGGGCAAGAAAAAGCTGAATGAGTCTCCCTCCCACACATTTCATTCACTGGCATCAGAATTCACAACTCGCACAGTGAGAGGCTCTGAATAGAGGCTGCACGCTTCTCACACTATTAAAAATTCAGCAGTCTAGCAAGGCCACGACGTCTCCTACGTCACTGGAGTTGCATTGAAGAGTGCAGTCACATTTCAGCGACAGCTCTCCAGCCTTATTTACCTGCATACCTCTGCTATCTCTCCTCCTGAACTAGACAGCCCTTTGAATCCAACCTGGACATCACCTCAGCTCTAGTCCAGGAAGAAGCTAAGAAGATCTTACGGTCGCAGTGCAAACAGAAGTGGCATGTTGTGAAAGTTAATGATTCGTGTTAACATTATAAGAGATGGCTGTCATCAGATCATATACTTTCATTTATTAGCTGTATTATTGCATTTGCTAATGTATCAGACAATAATGACGCAGATTAGATGTGTTGTGAAAATATTACATATCTCGTGGCCTTTTAAGGAGCTATTAGAAACTTTTAAGATCTTTTGGCACTGCAATGTATTGATAGATTGATAGATTTGCCCCTTTACATGTTGCACACACAGCAGCTATTAATCACATTTGGCTCCAAACCCTCTGGTGGTGTTGTTTTATTGCACTGGATTATACTAAGAAGTGTTTCTAATATTTTGCCCCCATTCGTCTATGTGAATCGGAGGGAACCAAAGCAACTTGCAGTGTAATATTTTCCCAAAGCTGCAGCGCCACGGCCTCAAAAATCACAAGCGTCTCTTTGACATTACCAGCAAAACTGAAACCTTTTAGCTTCACACTTGCATTGCAAGCTGTTATCACTCCTGTTATTGATTTTTTTTTTCTTTTAAAGGGCAAATCCACATTTGCCCATTAAAAGTATACATTACAAAGTATACACCTGCTCTGACTTTATGTAATTACACACCAAGTGGGTCAATTCATATTGCTTTTTTTAAAAAAAAAAAGTTTGGCATTTTAAGCTGAAGCTTCTAATGAAAAAGTCTCTGTCTCCAGGGTGTCAGAAACGCTGCGGCGAATCTTCTCGAGCCGAGCCCAAATCAGGCAAGAACAGCTGGATTTGGAGAGACAGCTGAAGGAGAATGAGCTGCGCCAGCGCTACAGTGAAGAGGACAACCTGCAGGTCCAATACCTCTGTGCCAAGGAAAAGACTGAGAAGGTAGCTGATGCTTACTCTGCTATCCACAGTTTTCATCATCCCTGCAGAAAAACAGCTGCTGACTCATCGTTTCACTTCTCCACTCCCTGTAGTTGTCTCAGTCTCTCATTTACGCCACTACGGGAAAGGGTCACTGCTCATCAGTGCCTGGCTCTTTTCTGTCATGTGTGTGTGTACCAGTGTTATTTTCAGCTGTGATAGCATTTAAAATAGAAAAGAGAATTCTTAAGAAGTGTTTAGTACCACACCTGTGTACTTGACTATGTGCGTATGTTTTTAGTCTTTTATTTTATTCAAATTGTTGACCCAACTTGTTTCCGACATTGGCTCAAAACCAGAAAACCCCAAAAAAACAGCTTGTTCACAGCTATAATTATTCAGACCACGAACACAGTTAATGGTGTGTAATTCTAATACGAGCACAACACAATCCATGTTACCGTTTGATGTGTTTTTCAACAGGCCACTTGTAAGCACGAGCGGAAGATTGCCAGCTTACGGACTCAGCAGCAACACATTTGCAAGCGTTTGAAGGAGGCAGAAACGCGCTTCCTGGAAAACGACGGCTGGCTTCACCGCGTCGAGAACGAGATTAGGTTGTTAAAGTCGAACGATCAAACCACAGAGGTGAGTTGAACTGGTTGGCCCGTTCAGTGTTTTTGGGTTGTTGTTTTTGTTTTTTTGGGGGTTTTTTGGGGGGGGGGGTTTAACTGGCGGTACGAAAAGAGCAATTCACTGGCAAACATGAATCAACTTCCATCCTCCTTTAATTTGTTTATTTATTAAGTATTTCTGATCATTTTACGCAGTCAAGATTGTTAATACTTGTCGGTCTTTGATCAGTAGAGCCAAATAGTAAGTAACACTACCTAATTACATAACTTGGAAGACAAGTGAGCACGATTATATGAAGAGAAAAACTTTACAATGTGGGTTACATCCGTCAAAACTCACTGCTTGGTGTTTTTTGTTTGTTTATTTTGGAAGGTGGGCTGTGTCTCTACTGGTGTCGTGACTGTCTTTGTTTTCTTCCCATCTGTTCTCCCAGTAATTAGAACCGTGCTCATTTTATTTCTCTAGCTCACTCGTGGATCACTGAAGAGAATAAATCAATACCCTTTACTCATCCCTCACACAGCAGCCAGTTACCTAAAACCATGTCCATGTTATTTTTTTCTGCTTTATCCTTTCTTCCAGGAACTGACCCAGAACTATGACGCACCACCCGGTCAAATGTTCTCTCTGCTGTTGTTTCGTAGTTTCTTTACGTCAGAGTTCCCTTTTTTTTCTTTTTCTTTTTTTATTCCCCATCTTTTTCCCCTCCCTTTCCTTACCCTGAGTTGACAGCTTTTCTGGTGAAACATGGATGAACTTTGTGTCTTTTCCCTAGTATCCTAACCCCTCTGCCATCTTTTTTTTTTCTTGGTTCTTCTTCTTTGTTCTTCTTCTAATTCTGCCCTCCAGAGTACTTATGTTAGAATGGCTTTTGACTTGTCACTTCTGCTGTCTGACCTCAATTCTCCCCTTGGTTTAGGTGTTAGAGAAGGAGCTACACTGCCACAGATTTGAGCTGCAGGTAAATGATCTCAAACAACACATCAAGCAGATGGTCAAGCTCACCAATCTACAGGATCAGGAAAACAAGCGCATGCAAAAGTAGGTTGGGCCAGAGTGAATTCACTCTGAATTAAGTGAACTCTTACTGCGGCACACCCAGAGAAGTTTGAAAGATCGTTTTCCCGCTTCTTTTCAGAATGGTGAACATCTTGCTGCCAGCTTATAGTCGGCATTATTCTGCGCTGCGTGGAGCCGGGCTGACCACAGAAGCTGACGAGACGGACAACCAAGAACTCGAACACCTTGTGCTGAGGGAGAGGGGCGTGGTCTGGGCTGACCAGGAAGGGGCGGGGCCGCAGCAGAAAGGTGGAGGGATTTGTGTGGAGTCACAGGAGACAAATGAGGCAGGAAAAATTGGACTCCGCAGCGAGCTGGCACCTGTCCTCTCTTTCACACATCTGCAATACCACCAGAATAGCCCCTGCAGTAAGTCATCACACTTTTACCACCCTATTCACTCTTTGGCTACTAGGTTGCATACGTGAAGAGGAGGGCAAGTAATGCTAATGAACGTTAAATATGTTTGTTTTTAGTTCACCAGGGAATACAGAAATTATGAACAGCACAAAATCCAGCTGGAGAAATAAGGGGAGATACATTTACCCAGTTCTTCAGGTGTATTTGACAATCTCACTTCTACCAGAAGCAATCAAAGAGAGCAAGAGAGAAATAAAGAGAAGGGTTTTGATGCTAAATGAGCCTGTGTCAGTCATTTATGGGAGGAAAAGTTTTGTGTTATGAAAAGGAAGCTTCTAGGTTTTTTCATCCACATCTTGTTTGTAATTACCACAGCACCCCTTCAGTAAATCCATACAGGAGTTTTTTTTTATGCCAGAAGAGTGTTGGGGTGTCTCAAGCTGGATTTACACTAATCAATCAAATAGCCAGTATCAGTTTATTGACTTAAGATACTAAGGTAAGTGCGGACATGTAACATCTGTGTGAAAGGTTTCCAGTTCAGTGCGTATCATTATATGAATACTAACCTTTAAAGAATTCAGTATATTGTGATTTTTAACGTAACATTGTCATTATTTAGTGTAACACATTTTAAAAAGGGGATGTAAGGTTCACATATGTTAATGCTTATCCCGTACCTCCCCAGTTTGTCTTACAATTGAGTGTATCCAGTGTTCGGATCACAAGTTCTTCTGACACCAAGTCTACATGTGTGACACCTAGAAGCAAGTTTTTATTACAGCATCAAATATAAAAATTCAGTTGTGCTATAAGGTAGTTTGGTAAGGGGGAGTGTTTATGGCATTAGTCCAGGTCCATTGTGTGTGGCGGGACCCACGAGACGGCACAGTTCATTTTTAACTGTCATCTCTGCATGACCTAGCAGCACTGGGCCCTCGTGACATATAAGCCATGACAGACAGTGGAGCATGAACTGAAGCCGGCCAACAATATTCACTTACTTTGATGGTTGTCTGTTGTTTGTCATGCAGTAAATTTTGACTTGGCTGTCTGCGCCGCTGCTTGCATGTTCAGTATCGTATTACTTTTCGTTTTTGGTGACTTTTAATGAAATACGCCGACAGTAAAAGGAGGAATCCGATCACTCGTGAATAGCGGCGTTGCAGCCTCTCTTGGGTTATAGTTTCGGTTGTAAATGATTATTAGGTGTTTTTGTACACACGCCAAAACACTTGAAGTTGTTCTTTGGGGGAATTCATTATGAATAAAAGTTGGAGGTTTATGCCGCTATTGTTTTCCTGACTTCACATCTCTGCCACATTCGTGCATCATGCATTGGCTTTGACAAAGTTGTTTTTTAAAATGTTGTTTGTCCTGCACATTTTACGTTAGCCAGATTGCCTTTTTTTTTCCATGATAGAATCACGATTTGTTACTGACTGAACATCTGCGCTGCCTTCACAGAGAAAATTGGATAAGAAGCGCTCACAAATGTTTCACCTTCGTATTCTTCTTTGTCACGAATGCATTCAGTGAATCATCTCACTCAATTTTAAAATATATATCCATGTGATTTTACCAAAAAATTTGTGAAAATGTTACATTGTATGAAAGAAAATCTAAGAAAATTGATCCTGTAGTGTTTTAATGACACTTGAAAGTTTTATTCACAGGTTCAGAGAGGCACGCGAAAAGATTGTGCAATCCTTCTCCATCACCAAAAGGTAAGTCAGCTCTGCTCTCTGGTTAGTAATCACTCTAAAGCCCCTGCGTACTTGTTAATCCTACTCACTTTTAGTCATTCACCTATTTGTGCTCCCCCTCATCACCTTTTTACCATCAATTACTCAAACACAAATTAACAGACAGTTTTATGTATAACGGAAGCAGAAACCAGTTCGTAAAGTGTTTTTGTTTTTTTTGTTTTTTTTGTTGTTGTTTTTTATTAATTACCATGTAAACTGGAAATTGATGTGTTCGCCTTCATTTCTACCTTGCTGTGTTTAGCTGTGAAGAACTTGTTCAGAGCCATAAAATACACAATAAAAATCAGACACGTAATATAATGTGATTTATAGTTGCGCCGCTGACCCTCTGTCCCAGCCAAAAGTTGAATAATGAAATGAGCTGAATGCTCGCAAGCTGTTTTCTAGAGGGAACTCTGTACATGCAGAGCCTTTAGGGGAAAGTCACACAAAAATCTTTGTGAAATATGGCTGTTCAAATTGCCTGTAATGATATTTACTGCAGGTGGTCTACATTTCATTGAAACTTATTGTGGGAAATGTTACGTCTGAAGAAAATACTTCTGCCAGATGACCAGAGTTTCTTGAATGGAAATGAAATATGGAGGCATCAGGGAGTTTGTCACCACCTCTATTAAATTTCCCTGCAATATATTGTAATAAGCAAGCTCTGATAGTGCACCGACTTGTTTTTCTGATATAAAAAGCTCCACTCTCTGCTTGGTCTGTCTGACCATGACTAGTCTTTATACTTTGCTGGTCAAACAAGGTTTTATTGTTCTTTTTTCCATTTGCTCTTATTAGTTCCACATAGCAGCACCTTTTCCTGGACTAATGTCTGCACACATGCTGCATTTGTTTGACTTAAATGGACAACCTTTGCCTTTTAATGCTTTGTTAGACACAACCAGAAAACTGTGGGTACACCTAATGGATAAACTCCAATGGATACAGTTATCTTTCTTAATTGAGTATATAACGATGCACATAGCAATGAACAAAAAACAGGAATTTTAGGTACATTAAAGTATCTCGAACCACTAAAGTCACTAATCCGTCAGTGCATACTCGCCAGATCCTTTGGGGCGTGGCTTGTTCTGGTGCATTACACAAACGGCCGATGGGATCAGGGTTTCGCGAGTCCCAGAGAATACTTGGACACTGTGTTGCATGTCTTCGGCTTTTCCTGATGTGGCAGGCTGTATTATTTTCCAGTACGCAGCGGTCATCTGGGAGCGTCGCTGCAAAGGGAGGGGATTGAGCTGGGCCTGCGGCAATGTTTGGTTTGGTCCACTAAGTAGTAACCTCTGAGGCAGAAAATGTGAACAAGAACACAATCATAGTAACAGATACAGGAAGTTTTTAGACTTAACCTCGAGTACTGCAAGTTAGTAAAGTGGACGTCACTGCTGTGTTTGTGTCTTTCTGAAGAATTTTAGTAGTATCCAAGTAATGTTATGGCTTACATCCATCCACTAAAAGCAGCATCAACCCCAAAACCCAGGTTGCTCAGCAGGACATTGCTTTGCGAAGAGATGATCATTGGGCTCCACGTCACCTGCCAGTGGATTTAATGTTCTGACCGACAAGTAGAGGTGTGCATGCAAGCCTTTTTGAGACTAACCAACAGCTTGATTGGCACCACTCACATGACACATCATATGAGTGGTGTAATTTGGGTGCTTAGTAACTGCATCACTATTTTTCTTTCATTTGTATCATGTACAGTTGCAATTTCATCTCAGTTCACTTGCACTCACTGACGCACACTTGCATCCTTCAAAAACAACTCTGCCCATCTTGGATTCAGTCCAGAGGCAATAGTCGTACATGCATGTCATATATGCACACAGACACAAACACGTGTTATATACACACGAGTGCTGTGGTGTTAATCAGCTGTGCAAAAAGCATTTTTCCAGTTTACAGACATAATGATACAGAGATGAAATGGCACAGGTTTTTAAGTTAAGGTGGCTTATTTTTAGCATTCAGACAAAGTGCTCTGATCTTCTCATGGTGCTGTTAGTCAGTCCCTCACTGCTTCCTCGGCTCTTAATGGAAGTCACTGCAGCATGTTAAGAAAAATAGCTCCACCCTGCAGCTCGCAAAGCCAATCAAATTTCATCGGTTTTAGAGAGGGTTGTGGTTTCAAAGGAGCGTTAACTCTTTGTGGAGTGCTTTATAGCAGCAATTTACACAAACGTGATCACAGTAAAAGAGACTTTCAGCCTTTTACTGTTAATAATTATAAGACCACAGATGCATTTATTAATAGTTCTGTGATTTTTCATTCAGCTATCTCCCACTGCCTCCCACAGGCTGTTCTTTTTATATCTTTCTGTTCGATCTTGTTTCTAAATTCTCCCATCTACTCTTTTTTTTTTTTTTTTTTTTTCACCCCACCCGTTAGATCCTTTTTTCTTCAAACATCTTTCAATGTGCCCCCTCCCTCCATTCTACCTTTCTTTCCCTCCTACCCTCAAATGTTTTTCTGTGTCTGTCTAGCATCTAACCCTCCCAATCCCTCTTGAGCTTCATTCATGAAAATGCAGATCCACAGCAGGGCAGGAAAAAACGTCAACAGACGTAAACTCCCCTGCTCCACCAACCAGAAAAGGCGCACTATAAAAAACAGGCAGCAGCAACCAGGCGACCCTAATTCAGTGCAGCCTCCACCAGAAATAGCAACTCATGCATGTATTAATCCCCTACAAGCCAAAAATATGTGATTGAAGGAACTCTGCTGCCATTTATTGCTGGGGACAACTTCAGCCACAGGAAAGGTCTATTTATCACCGTTTCCTCACTCTGTGTGGTGTCTGAAGTCTGACTCACATTTGCTAAATATTGCATTTGATATTTAGGGGAATGTATAAATCAGTCATTCACCTTTGCATTTAGTGTTCTCGCTTCCTTTATGTGCTGGCTTCTTTCCCTTTTAGCCTCCTCCCTCACCCCTACCACACTGCTACAGGAAATGCCATGAGTGTAACTACTGCTAATGGGATGCAGACACCTTGATTTAACCTCATTCTGCGATGGAGCCTGTAAAAGTTTTTGTTCTTGCTGCTGTGTTTAAATGCACCACTGCGACATGGATATACATCAATGTGACAAAAACGTGCTTCAGAAAATATCATCTGTATAAACATACTTGATATAAAATAATATACAACGGGGAGGTGACCATATTTGGATAAAAAGGTGGACATATGTTAATATTTAGTCGAATTCACATCAGCATTCATTTCAAGGTTGATTTTCACAGTGAATGAAATACTACACAATAATAGTTATTATAACAGCAAGTAACCCCCTGCAACAACTCACTAACTGGTCAGGGAATGCACTTTTTTTCTCTCTAAACAGTCTCTAGGCCCGTATTGACTAAGGTTTTCGGAGTCACTCTTCCAGCGAACACCATCAACCATCCTGGGAGGGCTAATTTCTGGTTGACATCTGGTCTCTAAACCCAATTGACCAGAATCTGACACATTTAACCCTTCTTATTAACTAAGCATCATACAGGCCACTTCAACTGTTAGGAAGAACCTAATGGGCTTTCACCCAAATTGTGTTTCAGTTGAGGTCATTGTCATACTTTCTGACAAGAATCGGTACTCCTCTTAGAGCATTGGTCAGGTTCTCTCACAAAATACTACACGTTTTCTCAGAATGTAACTTTAAATCAATTTGTTAAAAACAAAGCAGAACAACACCAGCAGTTGTAGCTACTGTTATGTGTTTAAGCTCCACGTTTTTAATAACAATGCACGCCTCAGTTTTGACTTTGTAGAGTTAATGTTTACAGGTTGGGAACTGTGCATAATGGCTCCAACACCAGTGATCACATTTTTAGTGTAACTTAAGGGAACGGTCTAATTTCTCTGTTGTGACATTATTTAAATTGCACTCTTTAGCTCAGGGCTTACTCTTAAGCGCGTATAACTGATAGAGTATTGGGGACTGCATCATTTGGGAAGAAATGTGTTTACCGTTAAAGTGGTATAATTTGCTTTCACTTCCAAGGCCCGCAGTTGTGAGGAACACATTGATAAGAAAGGTCGAAATAATGTCAGCTTATTAGTTGTTGCCAATCATTTCTCAAGGACCAAATGTGGGGCAGGCCACAGGCTTGAATTATTGTCTAAGAAGTGATACAAAGGTCTATTGACAAAATAGTCAACAAACACAGTAATCGTCAAAGGTACACTCAGTTGCTAAGTGTCGATCAAGTCCATACGGGGGGATAACCTTTCCGTGCGCTTCCACGTGTGGAAAATGGTCGAATGACGCTGCAAAATGTTCTGTTCTAAAATATAAATAACCTATTGCAGAGGTGGTTTTAATACTGTTAGCAAACATTGTAGTCACGGAATAAAATGGGGACATTGCTGACATACATCCTCTTCCATCATGTGACCTGCTGAAAACACATACGGCATCTGGAGCAATAAACTCTGGATACACAGTGTGTGCATAGGAAATGAATTCAGGAAACAGGAAGCAGTATACAGGGGCATTCCACTTTAATTTTTTCCACTTTCTCAGTCCAGGTTTGACCATCTGTGACTGTTCAAATATTAGTTTTTTTGATAAGAATCCGTATATGAAATGGGTTGGTCCTAACAGTCATTGAAATGTGTTGGTCTCAACAATTTTGAGAAATGCTTTGTACAAAATTTGACCAAATAAGCAACAAAGTTAAAGTTTATTTTAATTATATTCATTAAGAGTTCCAACAGTTTAAGAAAAAAGAAATCAATCTGCTTTCAAAGGGCTGTGTGGTTGTGTTTTGATTAGCACTGACAGTGCCATGCATAAGCAACCAACCCGCAGTTTTCATCAGAATCTGATCAGATATTTGCTGAGTTGATAGATTGATGTAACACGCCTTTTTGTTTTCTTTACTGAGTCTGGGCGCTTTTAAAGATATCAAAAAAGATATCAGTAAAACAGAAAAAACAAATATATAAATAATTAGATTTGTTTTAAGAAAATGTTAGGCCCCTGATAAAAATAAGAGCAGCCATTATCTTTCCTGTTGGTGGGAATAATGTTGTTTATTATTGTGTCTTCTGATTTGGACTGATTTTACTGCTGCTGTTTGGTTTTCCAGGCAAAGGAAATCAAACAGATGTGGCACAGGAATCACTTCCCAGAATGCCCATCAGGAGAAATTTATCTGCGTTACTTCCACCGCAAAGCCCCCGCACAGTTGCTGCTAGCCAAGAATTTGAGGAGGACATGTTTCCTCTCCAGTGCACGCCAGAACCGTGTCAAAAAAACACCCAGGCCCAGCTGCCAGGCTCCTCCAGTGCCATGGATCCAAACATGACCTTTGAAGTTATAGACAATGAAGACCAAGCTGCAAGTAACGCAACCATCATAATAAGCAGCAGTAGTCCGTGTCAAGCATCAACGTCCACAGACGTCTCGGGTCAACCTAACAAAGCCATGGAGGGGAATCAGATGACCACCAAACGGTAAAATAAAAAAACAAAAAAAAATTAATTTTAACGGCAAATGTTTGTTTCAGCTGTTATCTATGCTTTCAGTGAGTGTATCTTACAGTAGAGCTTAATTTTTTATTGTATAAGACAGCAAAACAACTTCAGCATTCGTGCTACGGCAACTCCCTGGTGCAACATTCAGGCACATTTCCACATTAGGTTTTTGCACAGTTTGCACACGATTTCTCTTGCTAGTCTTGAGTGAGAGCTGAAAAAATACTTGATCTATAACCCCTTTATTCATCCACCAAACAGGTTTTCTCAACACGAGCTGGTAATGTTACAAAAACAGAAGCAGAAGCACAGTGGGTTAAACTGTATGAGTCAGACTCTTAACAGAATTAGTTAAACAAATTACATTTTTAAAAGCTGGTTTAGAAGTACTAATGCAGCCTTTTAATTCTTTCCACAAGATCTTTAAAATCATCCCCTAAATGTTTCAAAGCACACGGTAACTAAACCACCCACAACTGGTAAATCCTTCAGACTTTAATCAAAACAAGATGGAGAGTAGAGTTATTCTCACCAGCACCAAGTCTTCAGAGTGGAACATTGGGCAAAGAGGCTTAAGTCAACTGAGCTGAGCAGTGACCTTGTGTCTTCGGCTGGAAGTGCCAAACAAAATGAGAATCGTTCTTACTTGTTGGATAAATTTGTTCCTGACCAACCTCAAAAGCAAAACGCATCACCTCAAACAATGAAATGGCTCTACAAACAATCTGCCTGGTTTCAAAACATCTTCACTACAGCACAAATACACTGCATCATGACAAGCTGTTTTTTCCTCAAATAATAAATATCATTGCTAATCCAGCCTTTAAGAGAGCACTTGCCCTCCAGCTGCTGCTAGATGGAGGAAAAAAGACCAGAGCTTTACGTATGGTTAATGCAACATCCACAATTAATTTGCCATATATGAACACCTTAAAAAAAGGAGTATGCATTAACACAACATCACAATCTTCCTCGCTGCAGACCTCGTCGTAAATTCACCCCAACGTCAGACTGTGCAGTGTTTAGTAAAATTGCTACATGTCAGACTCCACAGGCCTCAGTTAGCATGTTATATGTTAAAGATCATAACAGTACAATTAGAAAAAGACTGAACAAATATTACTTGTTTGACCAGAACAAACCACAAGGCTTGTGGAACAATGTCCTTAGAACAGCTGAGACCAAAGTGGCGAACTTTGACCATTATGCAGAAAGCTATATTTGGTGAAAAACAAACACAGCATATTGGCACAGACACCTCGTACCAGCTGGCAAGCACGGAGGGGCGATGATTTGGGTTTGTTTTAAATCCACACGACCTGTTCACCTTGCAGTCACTGAGTCAACCATGAACTTCGAAGTATTCTTGAGTCAAATGTAAGGACATCTATCTGTCAGCTAAAGCTTGGCCTAAACTGGGTTAAGCAACAGGACAATGATCCCAAGCACAACAGCAAATCTCCAGCAGAATGACTGAAAAGGAAAAATCACGGTGTTGCAACGGCCCAGTCAAAGTCCAGACCTCAACCTGAAATGATGCAGAAAGACCTTAAGAGAGCTGTGCATAAATGAAAATCTGCAAACCTCAATGAACTGAAGTGATGTCGTAAAGAAAAAGAAAGATCAGTTCGCCACAAGATTACAGAGTCCTGTTTAAAAAAAAAAAATGAGCCACACCCAACCAAAAATCATTGATTTACTGTTGAAAATGAGGTAGGATGCTCATTTTGCATAAGCCAACTTTTTGACAGCAAAGTTGGTATATCCAAATTCTGATTGCATGCACACCAGATATCAAGCTGAGAAATACACAACAAAAATTAAGATAGGTGAGGTGGATTTGAAGGGAAATGTGCCAAACAGCAGACTTGTCATGTAACATGAACCTTTGCTCTACAGACAACAAATCGCACCGCTCCAAGAAGCGAGACGCACCAACCCGACCTACATGAGTATGACGTCTGCTGCACAAGGGAAGCGAAAGTTTAACTGGTAATATACCTCTCTGTGTTTTTGGCCAATTAAGCTTTTAAAGCTGTTTAAAATGGCCACAAAAGTGACAACAGACATTTCTGACAGGACAGTGCTGAGTTTCTGGCCCTGATTATGTTTTCTGTTTTTCTTTTGTATTTTTGTTTTTTTGTGCTGTAGCAGCTTCAGAGAAGAGTTAACACATGCAGCAAAGCGCGTAAAGAAAGACTCCTTGGTGGCCCAGAGGCCACTCAGAGTGCATCGTTTTGTTGGTAAGTGTCAAAACAGGACATCCACAAACACACACTGTAAAGCCAGAACATTGAATGCCTGACCCAGCAAACGGTCACAGTGTATATTGACACCAGATATTGCTTTGAAAGACCAAACGCATTTATTGACTTGTGCATCTCTCTCATAACTCCAGAATTAATTCTGCTCTACATGTGAACCAGAAGGATGCTTTGATTTCATCACATTACATATGAATTTAGCGATCAGTAACCGAATGCTACTGAGATCCATCGGGAATAGAGGAGTACAGTTTTATTTATTCTTGACCATATCCTCTGTTTGGTGTTTCTTCCTCAGGTTCAGAGAACAAGCCTCGGAGAGTTGTGAGGAGCGCTTCTGAAGGATATCTTAACCTCATTGAACCGCAGAAACCCAAGTCCATTTTCTATAAAACATCTCAGCAGCTGAAACGAGTGGCTAAACGCATGTGAGGCAGCACTGAGCTCAAGTCATATCGCCTTTAAAAACACTTTCGACCCTGCACCTTTTCCATCCTCATTGGTGTTTTTAGAAGATCTTTTTTTTCTCCAAAGCTTAGAAGAAAGTGCTCAATTGTGCAGAAATGCTAAATGTAATTGGATAAAAGTTCTACTGAGTCGTGTTTTATTTCCTTTCAGCCTTGCACTGAAGTGAACTTTCACTTGTACATAAGCATTGTATGGGCAGTTGTAGAATATTCAGATTATTCTTGATTTGTATTAGTTTGGAGCCTTTCTTTGTATTTTAACCTGTATTATTAAAGTTATGTTCACACTAACAGCAAAAAGAAAAAAAAAAGGATAAATCACTGTGTGTCCTGCAGATATTTTTGTACATTATGTACTTTGATCTATTTTCAAATGGTGATCAGCTTTTAGGTGACCACATTAACCAGGGCAGCTAATAACATCGAAACTGCTCGACTCTGAGCTGTTTGTGTTTCTTATTTTTATCCTGTACAGGTAATAACATGGGTTTATAGATATTTCATAATAAAAGTGCTTGTAAGAGAATCTGTGGTTTTTCAATAAAAAGATCCTTTTCATCAAAAAAAAGTAAAAAAGAAAGTAATATCTGCTTTTTGTGCCATTGATGCTGTGCGTGAATGTGGTTCTCAATGACGTTTCAGTTACAAGATGTTCCAACACTAAGTAAGTGACATCAGACGGCCTCAGAGAAGGTGAAAAATACAATGGCAGGCAAAATTGAACTGAGCTAGGAGTGAGTCACACATAACTCTTATTGTCTTCCTATAACATTCATATGCTTTTAGGAAAGAGATCGTGATTCCAGCGATGCTATCTTTACAGATGAAAGTACTTTGGTGTTGTGTTTGGGTGTTTTTTGCTCTGTTTTTTTTTTTTGTTTTTTTGTTCAATTGCCAAAAATATGTTTAAAAAGAACACATGGAAAAGGTGGAGACTGCCAGACCATTTACAATTGTCCTTCAAAGCGTAACATAATTGTCACATTGTTACTGTTTGGAAGTATTGGCTGTAAGGAGGAACAATGCACAAAGTTAGGCTGCACTCCAACACCAATGTAGGCAACTTAATTCAGGCTTCATACAAGTAAGGCAAATATGTCAAAGTGGCTCTCATATGGGGTTTAAGGACCACTCGCAGCAAGATAAGGCATTCAACCATATGCACAGACAGCACAGAACGGCCCTAGCATGGATTTGAACAAGGGACCTTTGTGCTGTTAGGGTTAAATCACAGGATCAGAGAATTAAGTTTCCTTACCAAAGAGGTCTCTCTGGAGCATTTATAAATAAATAAATCTAACAGCTGCAAATAGGCATGTAAAGCAAAGCTGTCTGTAAATGTTGATATATGACTACTTTTTTCTTTCATATTTGGGCCATCAAGTTTTCTGCTTATGTCAATATAGCTGCTGATTTCCTTTATACTGAGCAAAAGATCCCCAGGAGGAGATACAAATCACTTTGGTGTTGCCTCATACATTAAAAAAAAAAAAAAAGTCTTTTTCTTATTCAGAAGGTATGTTAGAGTGATAGTGGTCAATAAAGGAATCGTGGTGGACTGCATTGAAAAGAAAACTACTTATCAGTTTACTGTCATGCACTAATTCATTGTAGGCCTCTCTTGTGAAACCAGCTCCCAGTTTGAATTCAGCACAGACACCCTCTCTACTTTTAGGATAAGACTTAAAACTGCTTTTTTGATAATGCTAATAGATAAGGTGACCCTGAATTCTCCCTTACACTGTAATTGAAAATGCAATAGGTTTCTTCTTGACTCACTATGTTAGTGCTATCAGCATTAATCTCGTTAAAATGACGTTAACGCCATAACCGCATTAACATGGCAGCTTTCCGTTAGCGAGTTAACGCGGATTGCCTCGTGTGTGGGGGGCTGCACGGCGTCAATGCGTTAGCGCTGTGCAGCGCCAATGCACTGTAGGCTATTTTCAACTTGGTTCTGTACTTGGTTATTTTCTCACTTTTTAAAATGATGCACATGTTTTGTGAAACCTGTGAAATCGTTTCCTAAATTGCTTGTGTTTTCTTTATTTGTGTCGAGCTCTCTGGGGCACAGCTCTTTTAAACAGCTACAACTAATGAATAAATTGTTTAGCTAAGAATAACAGATAAATGAGCTTAAATTCATAAAAAAAAAACAAATGGCTGAAATAGATATGTAACAGAGAGACTCAAGATTAAAGTAAAAACGAAATAAGTATCCAACGTTTGCCACACCAGTTTTTTTTAAGCTAAATACAGCATAGATATATATAGATATATATGTATATATATCTTTTTTTTAATTAAGAGACAAACATAATATACTTGAGCATGGTCTTATAAGAAGCTACTTTTTTTTTTTTTCCTTTTTGGAAAGTACTGCTAAACGCCACTTTAAAGTTGTGCCTTGAAGATATTTTGGGCTTCCCTGTGTTACATTTTTAGACTGATGAAATGTGGTGAATCACTGGGAACAGGCTTCTGTTTGAAATCTATACTAAAAACCAAAGACAAAAAAAAACTGCTGGATCTATTATGAGGGTGGGACCTCATTGCTCTGTCTGGAGAGAACTAGACTTGTCACTTTGAATTCAGTCTTGCAACTTCCAGTGGCACAGCATTCGGTGTGATCTTTATTTTTAGCTCAGGAGCTCAATGCATATATCAGCACTGTACTGCGCAAGCACTGACACCCTCTCATGCTCTCATTCACAAGAATCTCTTCATTGTGTGTGTGTGTGTGAGAGAGAGAGAGAGAGAGAGAGAGAGAGAGAGAGTGTGTGTGTGCGCACACAGGGAGGCAGGTTCTGGCTAAAGTTTATTAACTTTCTCTTAGCCAATGGGACGCCTTGTGCGTTTTTCCTGCTGACCAATGGGACAGATTGAGAGGTTGGAGGTGGGTGTTGCTTAGCAACTGCAGGTAGAATCTCAGATCATGTCGGACCCATTGTTTTATCTCGCCTCCCTGAGAGACATTACATGCTATGTGTTGTCATTTGTTAGTAAAAGACACCCCTGTGCAAATGCGTCACAAAGTTGTTAACTCTATTTTTGTTACTGTTAAACAAAGATGGCAGGGACTTTAATAGCATTTTGCCCTCGAGAAGGAGTGCTTTCGTTTCTTTTCTTTTCTTTCTTTCTTTCTTTCTTTCTTTCTTTCTTTCTTTCTTTCTTTCTTTCTTTCTTTCTTTCTTTCTTTCTTTCTTTTTTTGATTGATTGCCATCATGTTATCACCAGTACCTGTCTTAGTCTCATCACCAGACTGACTGGAGCACATACAGAGGAATTTAGATTTTACTCCTTTATTCATTGCTCCTCATTACAGGCATAATAACCTTCAGTGAACCTCATGCAGAGTCAGAGGTGAGTGATTAAAAGCAGACAACAGACAGGGCTGCTCAAAGCAAAGATGCTGGCTGTCCATGAAACATTTGCCTGTGAAGCATTTGCCACATTTAACCTGCTAACCCCCCCCCCAGACACCATCTCACACACACAAATCACAGATGCATTTAATATGATGATCCTTAATACATTTTTGATTGGAAACCTTCTGTTTTGTTTGGCTGCCATCATATGAGCAGCAGAGAGAGAGATGCAGACCGCTCAGTATAAAAGCAAACCGTATGATCTCTCCTGCAATGTTCCTGACTCCCACAAGGCCGCACGTCACAGCTGTGAACTTTTCGCCCCCTGTCTAATTAGATGACCTGATATCTTAAAGCAATATGTCAGAGTGGAGCGCTGACCACCAGTACTGTCTGTCCTTTTTTGTTTTGTTTTTGTTTTGTTTTTTGTTTTGTTTTTTGTTTTTTTACCACTAATCTTTTTTTTGGCTTTTGTTTTTCCTCTGTTGGCCTTGAATCACATGGCTGTGACACTTGGGGGGGGGGGGCACAAGAAAAATCTGTGACCTCTTAGTCATATATAGCATAAAAGAAACTTTCATTCATTCAATTGTTTTCATTTCTTTTATTGAGACAAAAACATAGCATAAGAAAAGCACCAAAGGTTTGCGTTTGCTCGTTGGCCCGTCCCGTGATGCCTAATGCAAATATTTAAATGGGGTTTATGGAAATTCCTGGGATGCACCCAGGTTTGGCATGTAAAACAGGGATGTGAACATGGTTGTTTACACCGTGCACATTTGTGTCCAGTAAATCCCACTGTGGGAAGCAAAGGAACAGAGATTTAACAACACAATAAACTCGCCTGTATTGTTTGTTGAAGTGTAGCACATTTGGAGACGTGCTTCGGTTTAAAAGGTGGTTTGGTGTAGTACTCTAGACAAGGTAAGAGTTTATAAATGTATTCATCAGGTGCTCTGAAAATTGTGAGTTTGATCATTTGTTTAGGTTGTTTATCCAAGACTGCACTCTGGCTACTCCAGTGTGAGCATTTAGTGCTCTTCTCTCTTTCATTTGAATGGGTCCTCTTGGTTTAATTGTAGGCACTATTGCACTATTTTAAAACATTTAAGGGACTAAGCAAGTTCATAAACGGAACATTGCGCTGGACACATTACAAAGTGCTGGGGTTTGAGAGCTGCTGATTTTGTTGACTTTGTAAAGCCTGTCGATTGATCATGTTGGAGCACAGAGAGGATGATGGTGATGGTGATAAGTGCAGCAGAGATTTATCTGATTTTATTTATATATGGTTATGTGTTTGTCATCCTCGCTGATCACCCAGCAGTTGCAGAACCGTTTCAATTCTGACTGCATTTGATTCAGCCAGCATATTTTGCGAGGAAAAGAGAGAGAAAAAAGATGTGGCAGCAAATATCTGGCTCTCTTTATCAATACACATCTGACTGTTGACAGGACCTTGTGCGGTGGTAATCGTGAGGGAAGGGGAGGGGGAGGATGGGTGAGATTTACAGTTTCCTTTACCAGGTAATGTCTCCTGTTGTGAAACAATGTGACAGAAAATCAGTACATCTGTGATGGCTCAGCAGTGTTCTTTGCCCCTCTACATTCTCCTCCAGGAGCTTATCCAAAGCTCACCTCAAATGTACTGTATGTAGCCTGTGGATGACTCATCCTCGGGAGAATGAGCTGCAAGGTGCAGGTAGCCTTGCAAATAAACATTTCACGATTTGCAGCGTCTTCTGAAGTACTTTGCTGACTTAAAGTCTGATCCTGCAGACTGCAAATACAAACTCTGACAAACCAATTCTGCTTCATTCTGTCTGTGAGGCACACTGTGTAAAATGTCCTGTGGTGTTGATGTGCCCCTTCAGTGTAACACATGTGACGTGTGCATCAGTGAAATCCTGACACACACACGCACAGAGTTGTGGATTTTTTTTTCTTTTTTTTGCCATTTTGTTTATTGAAACAGAAAATTTGTCATCATTGCAGCAATTGCCATGGAGACAGGGTTTAAATCCCAAACCTAGTGGTTTTATACACTGCATGAGTGTATGCTCGTTACTGTTTACCGCAACTTCCAGGAAGACTGCACGCTGGGTGGATGGGTGACTCCGCCTCTTGTGGATGGTTGTGAAACATGCGTCCATTCAAATCATCTTCGATTCCCGGCAGCCTTTCACACACGCACTGTTCCCCTAAAACATGTAAAATTCTCCCTTGTTTATCGTTTACTTTGCAGCATCCTGTTTTTCTGGCATATTAGCGGATACGGTTCGTACCATAAAGTTTATCACTGATGACCAAGCAACAGGAGCCACTTTGCTGTGATTTAATTGTACTTTATGATTCACCTATGGTGAAATTGGATTGAAGTGGTTAGGGGGAAAGTTCTGGGTTCACCTGGAGTCTTTCTGTGTGCTTCTGTGGGTTTTTCCACCTCCCTGCTACAGGTCAACCATTCAGGTTGGATTAATTGGTGATGCTAAACTGGCTGTAGTTTTGCTTGTATGTGTGTATTTTTTCCTGTGATAAGCTGGCACGCTATCCAAAGAGTACGCTGCTTTTCCCCCAGTGTTAGCTGGGATAGCTCCCAGTCAAGAAAATGGATGGCACGTGGCCTCTTCTTGGGGGTAAAATGAGAAGAACTGTGTTTTCTAACATTCTTGTTCAACTAAATTGACACTATATCCACTTTAAGATGTTTGTCACCAAATGAGTACTGTTATGGCGCGGCCAGACCACAACATAAAGGGTGATCCATCCCCGTCCAACCCCAACCAGCACGTCACACACTTAATATTTCGTGACAGTGATTTATTTACAACGAGTGCAGTTAAACAAAGGAAGGGAGCATACCATAACTTCAGGGTGAACCCAAGGCCAAAACAACAAACAAAATGTAGCCTATCTCAGGAAAAAACACAACTTACCTACTCAAAAGAACTAAACCAAACGACAATCACTTTCCTCCCTGCCTAACAAAAACAGGAGAAAACTGATCAAACAAAAAGGTGGTCTTACATTAACCAACATAGTAACATAGTGACACGGTGAACGGTCTGCCGTTTGGGTTGGGCCGAGGATGAATGACATGGCAGTCCCTGGCGGTCTCTTCTTATTCGCTGTCTCCCGGTCCTCAGCCAATCAGTGTGAGCCATCCACCCTGGATGCACCAACCACGGAGGAGCACCTGCGCACTCAAATTTACATATGATTGCGATCACAGTCGTAACAAGTACGTAAAGGGGTTATAACCTGGGCAAAGGGCATTAAAACATCGTTGACTGCTTTAGGCTTCATCCAGATTAGGTACAATTAATATTAGGCTGCGCCGTCAAAGAGTAAGAATGTGCCACCCAACAGCTAGACAGCATTCACTTTTAATGTTTTGGACCTGTCATGTTTATGAGCATGTTTGAAATGTTGATTCTAAAGCCAAGACCAGGTTTGCCATGTCTGATGGCAATAAAACAGAACAATAAGATGGAGTTAGTCTGCTATCAGTTTCCAGTTGACTGGGACCAAATTGTCTGTTTGTGATAATATTAGCTGTAAGAAATCAGTGAAAAGGTGTTGCCATCTGTTGTCATCTACATACGTATATAGAGTCTAGCCAGGACTTTATATTCCTCCAGAAATACTGATGTAGTTGCTGCAGGACAGCAATTTACTGCAAATTGTCATAGGAGCTCAGAAACCTGGTTTATATAGGAATATAACCAGGACAAAACCAGTTTGCAACCGAATTGACTTCCCTGCTGCAAAGAGACGCATTGCAGACAATTTGTGCTCATTCGCGGAGACTGACTGTAACGTGTTGACAATCTGTTTGTATTTTTAAATCTGACTGCAATTATTTCCAAAAATTCACCCATCTGTCATGATTGTGTGACTAGGAATGACCCACGCAATCAAAATGGGATCAAAAGTGCTCACCAAATGTGAAAAAATTGAAAGCAATCACAGGACAGCCACCAATTTTTCTAAGCAGGCTGCCATCTTATTTTCACTCTAGTGTGACTGAGCTAATATTTACTGCATCTAGTACACACAATGTGGGCCTGACACTTTTATATTCTCATAAATTATCCTGTAATCTACAATGTAAAGTAAGTATTTGAAGAAAAAGTCCTGCTAGCCATTTTTAATGCACTCCCAACCTGGAGCTGGGAAAGCCTGTATAGACCAGACAACTTTAATCTTAACCGAGAATCCCCCGTCTGAGTATCACCAGTAAACACTCAACAGCCACACTGCCCATTTAGTAAAAAATGTATGTGCTCACACAGGCTGGTTAAAACAAGCTTGTGTTAAGATTACACTGGCCTTCCCCCTGCAGGTAGTTCTTGCAGGGGGAAAGCCAGTAGCCTATAGTCTCAACACAACACCACGGGCCATTTACACTTCCTGACATCCTTTTTATCGAACAACGGAGCAACTTTTTATTTGGGTTTAATTGGTTTTGTTTCAAATAAAGTTAGAGCCACATCCATGTTACACCCACACAGGTGTTTTCACTTTCTTTGCCTGATTAGAACTCCTCTCAGGACTGTGTGGGTGTGTACAAACTGCTCGATTCACATTCGTATCACTCTACTGTTGGTTTCTTTGCACTTGTTATGTTAGTACAACTTAAAGCCTTTAACATCCTTATTACTCTCACACTTGTTTCTCCTTCAGTATTAGGGTGCACATGATTGTTGCAATGTTTTAATTATATTTCATCTGCAGTTCCTAGAAATACGGGACACATTATTGTTGGGAACATAATATCTCACCAGTCCAATCCCAAACGACAGTCTGATTGTTATTTGGAGTAAACTGATGAAGGTTTTGTCAGGTTTATATTTGGCTGGAGGGCTGCAACAAAATCATAGGCGCTTCCTTATTGAAATTTAAAGTTGTTATGTAAACAGCTAATAACAAATCTATAAATATATGTTTTAAAACAGTACCTCCTGCTGATGATTCCTATCTTCCTGAGGTCTTCATGCGAGAAACAAGATCAATATTGGTTTTGAAGCTTCAGTGCAAGCTTTTTCATGTTTTGTGTATTTACTAAAGCCATAAGTTACCATGTTTGGATGAGAAGGTGGATTGCTAAGTGATCAGCTAACTAGCTGGCTTGGTTGGCAGCTGCTTGCATACACTGCACAGATGTGGTCCACCTGCTAATTGGTGCTCAGGTAACAGGTTTGTAAAATAGAGGAACTTTGACTCACCACAAATGAAGCACAGATTTCTTGGATGTCTGTACCACATAGAAAGCGATAATATAAGTTAGGCAAATCTTTAAAGTGAACCCAAAGCACATTCACATACATGAGGTATAAAATAATTTAATCCACTCTGAGTCTTTATGAGATAGGGGCTGCCATTTTTATTGATTGTTTTTTTTTTTTTTTTTTTTGTGCAAAATGTAAAATTTCTGTAAAATGTGCTTTTTAATCCCGTTAGGTTGGGCATTTGAACACGTTAGTCCTCTTAGAACCAGCCTAGTGGGAGGTAGAGGAACAGCGGTTTTGGGGACTTTTGGTTTCATTTTTGAGGTCTGAAGGTAACTTCTTGATCAATCTTTGTCAGTCCCCATAGACTGTTATGTTACAGAGTTAAATGTTAAATTAATTCAGAGACCTGTTTGTCTGTGTACACCTGTCCAGGCTGCACTCACTCTCATATCTTAAGGTTCAGAGAGTAGAATGATATGTAGTCATTTATACCAATGCTAGCTAATATTTTTAATATTACAGTGTGATGTTGTGTTGGTGTTGCATTGTGGAGATTTTGTGTTGTCAGAGGCTCCAAAATTTTCAAATTGTTTCTCCCTTTGTTTGTTTACATAGCATTACTTTAACACAAAGTCTGGGAACTGATCCAGAATATTGCCACACAATACACATGTAACCCAAAACCTATTG